AATATAAATATACAAAAAACTTTTAAATTTATACTAAACTAAAATATATGAGAGGTGTATGTTAGCAATAATGGTCAAGTCGTTTTTGATACACCCTTGTATCAAAAACGACTTGATTTTATAAATTTTTATCTTTACTAAAATGAGTAAAATTAGTTTACAATATAAAATTATGTTATACAAGATCTTACGTATACAAGTGGTGTTTCTATTATGGGAAGGGGCGTATGACCCCCCCCCCCAACCTAAAAAAAAATAAAATGCAATTACTGTTTTCAAAATTTGAATAATAAAAAAAAAAAATTATGAAACTGGAAACAATTTAAAAAATAAATTCATATCAGGCAACCACCAAATATGAGAGATGAATGTAAAACTCATAATAGATATGTTGATGTTTTAGTACTATAATATCAAAAACATTTTTAATTCTTAAAATATCTGATTGAATATTTAAAGTACAAAAACAAAGAAGTAAAAAACATATTCCACTAGATTAAAATATACATTAGTGGTGCATCCATGGTCATAAGAGAGTGGAGTATAAGGGAGGGCCTATCCAAATATATCATAAGGGAAGGGGCATTAGAATGCCTCTAACCAAACCAATTGGATATATATTACTTTAAAAATTATACAACTACTATTTTGGAGCTATAATTATAAGTCAATTGGCTGTAAAAAACATGTCATCTTTATAACCAAGTGTAGCAACATCCTATATTAAAGTCTTTCATGTGATTATTACATTAACAGAAGTAAGGACCATACAGTATGGTTAACGATCTAGCCATTCTGTTTGGTTAACAAACAAATTTCTGTTTCAAAATAAATAATAAATAAAATGTTAACATTAAAAAAAAAATTTTAAATTATTTTAAAAATAATTTAATATATTTTTGTCTTGGCTTTTAGTGAACGATTAATATGATTAATTCCAGTAATGAAACTATATTTAAATTATTTTCAACAATAGATACCACACGAAGGTAAGCCAGAGTTGTCTATCAAAAAATTTAACAAATTACAACACTTGCTATATAATTTAGGCAAGTCACAATACTAGCTGTATTATTTATGCAAGTCACAACACTTGAAATACATTTTTGGCATGTCACAACACTTGTTGTATTATTTATGCAAGTCACAACACTTGCTATATATTTCAAGCAAGACACAACACAAGCTGTATTATTTATGCAAATCACAACACTTGCTATATATTTTAGGCAAGTCACAACACTTGTGTTTTTAAATTCATTAAATTGTAACTCACCAGAAACAACATCAGCAGCTTGCTGGATCTTTTTCATGCAATAGTCAGCAGCTTCAATATCAGTTTCATCATCTTTCCAGTAAGAAATGGTGTAAATGAAGTCATTATTTCTTTTACTAACTTTGCCACTTGATTTTTTGTCTTTAGCAAGTCTCATCTCTTGCTTTGCATTGATTCAGTCAATATGTAAATCTGTTTTTACGTGCTACATTAATTGACCATTTAACAATCTTTTCTCTTAAACTTAGATCTGGAGTGTCTAGATAGTCAACAATCTTATTCTTTTTTGATCTTAGTTTGCAAGGGATATAGCAAATTGTACTATTAGGAAACATACCCATTAATTCCTCACTATCTATATTGTGAAGCTATGCACTAGCTGTTTTCTCTTTAAATGTCTCCGTCACAGTAAGAGAAGCTAGTAGTAAATGACTAAATACTAAATTATTATATCATATAATAGGGATATAACTGACTGATCCTCTCTAAATATATATATATATATATATATATATATATATATATATATATATATATATATATATATATATATATATATATATATATATATATATATATATATATATATATATATATTTTCAAATTAGATATGTAACACCTTTAGTGTGTATTGATAAAGTAATAATCTTTAGTTAGCATGTATCATTAAACTATATCATTGAAATTGTTAAAATTTACTAAACTTACATATCGCCTGTCTGAATTCACCTAAAAGCCAATTTTAAATTAAAATTTTATTATAAAATTAAACTATAACACTGACATTGCAAAAATAAGTTTAAATGACTAAATAACTAAAATAGTTTAAATTTTACTTGTTCTAAATTGTTTATAGAAAAAAACAACAATGACTCAATAAAAAGAAAGCAACAATTAGAAATACATAAATAAACAACTGTAAAAAAATTTTGAGGATAATTGTAATAAAGATCTTTAAATGAATACTGAAAGCAGATAACTAAATACTAAAATAATAAAGCATAACAAAGAAACTGACTTATCCTCTCAAAAGCATCTTCTAACAAACAATTTAAAAACTTTTTTTAACAAAATAATACAAACATTTGTCTAGACTATATCTACTGATCTTAAGTTAAAAGAAACTAATGGGTATGGAATGTGTAAAATAACTAACTAATATTGTTGGCTGCCACCATCGTACTGCTTTGAAATGCTGAAACAATATAACAAATGTTTTGCATTATGTTACATGTATTATACATAAAAGTTGAATAATTTCACTAACATATATAAGTTATATATAAACGTATTTTATTTAATAAATAAAGTACGATTCAACTGTAATAAATAATATAAATAAAATAAATAAAATTCAACTGTAATAAATAATATAAATAATTTACATTACTTATTACAATTGAAAGATTAACAGTCAATTATTAAAAAAAAAAGATTAACAGTATTATAACACTCTTACATTGTAATACAATGTAAGATAAAATATGTTATAATATTAATAACGTCTTTAAACTTTAAAGTAACATTAAAATTCATTTTATTTAAATGAATTTTAGTGTTTCCTTACTAAGTAAGGTAAGTAAACTAATGTTTCCTTACTAAGTAATTTAATACTTTAAACTTTAAAGTTTAAAGTAGGTTACTTTAAACTTTAAAGTTTAAAGTAGGTTACTTTAATTTTTAAAGTTTAAAGTATTAAATTTTAATTTTTTTTTTTTATAAGTTTAAAGTATTAAATTTTAATTTTTTTTTTTAAATTTTAATAAATAGGAAATAATATTAAAAACCTTTATCATTATTTTGACCTATTATTTTATTTAATCTAAAAAAAAAAACTGAAAATGTTATTCAATCTAAATCATATATAAAAAATATTTGATTAACCCCTCTGTCTCCCGCGCCCATTTCAGCAAAATGAGAATTAGGTACTAAAAGTGCGACAAAAAATAGACACCCTGCTACAACTTTTTTTTCAAGAAAGAATAGTATAGAATTCATGAAAGAATAGTATAGAAAAATGAATGAGCATGCCTTCGACATTAATTTCATGCCATTAGTACGACAAAGTTTTAGACATCAAAAAACTCTTTAAAAAAGCAATCTATTAAAATAATAAACCTAACAGTAACAAAGTTTAACTATTCTAGTTTCTAAAAATAATCTATATTGATATCAAATTATAGAAAGTTTTCCAACTAAACACGTCTTCCCTACGCTAGCT